TTTTAGAAAAGACATAGACAAAATAAAGACAAGAGAAACAAAAAGAATACCATAATTAAAATCTGTCCTTTGAAAGATACAAAAAAAGTGACAAAAGTGACAAATCTTTAGCTACATTAAACAAAAGAAACAAGACTCAAATATATTTAAAAAGAAATGAAAGATGAGACTTTATACCTGACACCGCAAACCACAAAGCAACATGAGATATTTATAGATGACATGACCCAACATACAGAAATTGTAGACATTCCAGTGTATACTTCTGAAATTAATGAATAAATCCAGTAAAGATACAGGATACAGACACACATACAAACATCATTTCCAGAGAAATTAAGAAAGTAATCAAATTTACAAGAGCATCAAAACCAAAAAATGATGCAGGAATAAATTCTACCAAAAAGGAGAACGACCTGTACATTGCACAACAGGGCAATGTTGATGAAATGGAAGAAACCACAAATAGACATCCTCATCACACTATTAATAGTATTTTTTTTTATTTTTAAAAACATTTTTTAAGGTTTTATTTATTTCATTTTTTTGGAAAGAGAGAAAGAGAAGGAGAAAGACAAGGAGAGAAATATCAATGTGGGAGAAACATTGATTGGTTGCTTCTCGCACACCAGGACCTAGTCCACAACCCAGGCTGGTGCCCTGACCGGGAATCAAACCAGTCACCTTTTGGTTTGCAGGACGATGCCCAACCCACTGAGTGACACCAGTCAGGGCAATATGAAAAATTTTTTTTAAAGAATGCTGAGAGTGAGAGTCTTATCCAGTGAAGACATAAGAGCAAAGATCTTCAGCATCACATGGAGGTACAGGCATCTCTGAGCTTCATTAAGGAGGTGCCATTCTGTCCTGGAGAAATGCTTGAAGACAACTGCAAAGGTCACCCCAACCTGTCAGAATTAATACAAATGAATCCCGAACAGCCAGTTTGAGCCCCATAATCCTACTCTACACAAAACTTCCTCACAGCAATCTGTTCCCAGTTCAGAGACGAAAACCCCTCTCCCTCCCAGTCAAGACATTACTGCATCAGACTTTTGAAGGCAGACATACGAAGGACCCCAAGTTCCAATCTTCCCAGTTCAGCGGCCCCTGAGTGTTTACATGGTGTCCCTTCTGCCTGTCACCTTCTCCCCCTTTTAAAAGCATAATTTCCAGAAGGATTCAGCAGTAGTATATTAGTAACAAATCTGTATGAGTGTGGGTATGAGTGTAGAAACTTTCTGTATGAGTTAGTGAGACACCAAGACACACCTGAAAAACATGCCAATAAAATATTGTAAAATTCAAGGAGCAATATAAACAAGCTTATAAAGAAACCTAAAGCTAAGGACTGGGGATGGTCTTAGAGTTCAATACGAGCAGATTGGACTGTGCCTGCAAATGACCTGACCCCAATCTCTGCTTGGGGGAACATAGCTGTGCCCGCAGTTATTATTCTCTTTAACACGATCTATACAACTTTCCTTGTATACACTGCATCCTAAAAAATGTACTTGTATCTCTTCAATAACTGCGAAAATCAATTTGTCTTAAAACGAGTGCTGCATTACCATGAAAATGCAACGACATCAAAATAATGCTTAAGTCCCAGGTAACTTACAAGGGCTGCTGAGGGCTGCTCCATGTTGAAACACGGATATCAGTAACACTTAGAAGGGCTTGAGATTCAACACTAATCCAAGGCATTCTACAGACAGCAGTGAGGAGGAAAGGGGAAAAGAGGTCAGTTTTCAGAACAGGGTCCACGCATGCCACCTGATGCCTTTTAAATGGATTGTGTTTTTTAGGGAAATGACTTGTAAGCAGATGGCAAATATCATCAAAGATGCTCTGACTCACCTTCTTCTCTGAAACAGCCCATCAACCGTAACTCTGCTAACTGAGCAGTGGAGACTTTGACTCAGCCTGATTCAGCCAACTGGCCCCTGCCTCCAGCCATTGGGAATAAGAACCTCAGTTGTGGCTAGAGTGTACTGGACACTAGAGTGAAGTTTTGTGTTCAGAAAAACCATGTTCCAACCCAAAGATCACTGGAAAGGAGGATGTGATTGCTGAACATGGTCAGGGCTGCAGGAAGTAGATGGTGAACACCACTGTCTCCTCCAGCCAATCCTGGACTGAGGGCTGGATCAAGTGGGCACTGAGTTTCATGTATGAATAACAGGTGAACACTCTACCGGGAAGGTAACAATACTACAGGTCTCTAGCATCACTTCTGAATATGTCCCAGGTATCACATCCAGCTGTCAATACTGCAGTAAGGATGTCAGCGACAAGTACCAAAAACACTCAAAAGGCACCACATTCACCACAGTGGATAAAACTGAGCCTGTCATGCAAAACAAGAGAAAGTGCTGAAAGGCCTGGCCATGAATCACTGGGATCTCATTAGTGCCAAATTGTGCTAATCTCAAAAAGGAGGTAGACAAAATGCAACAAAGGCTCAAAGTAATTTCCCCTGGGAAAAATACAAGATAGTGTTCCCATGAAGACTGTGAGGCAGATGAAAAGCACTCTAAGACAGCAGAAAAATGCAGAAAATTCATAATTGCAATGAGAACAGCAGCAGCTGAGTTTCTTAAAACCCTGACCTTTGCTGTTCTTCTGCCTTGCACCAAAGGCTTAAATATGCCCTGGTAGAAATTGTGCCCAGCTTGGAGCCAGACTCAGGAGTTTGAATCCAGCCTGTTTCATGTGGTATTTATCTGCTATCTGAACTTGGAAAAAAAACCTTACTTCTTCTGATCCTCACTTTCCTTGGGGATACAATAACAGTTACTAATACCCAGGATGCAGTTGAATTAAAAATAATCAAAAAGCAAATCCTGGAATATTTTTACCTGTAACTTCAGTTTCATTACCTCTACTGATCTTCACAAGGGTCATGGTTAATTTCATGTTTGTGAAAAGCGTCTTGGGGGGTTGTATTGTCACCCAGAGGATGTAAACTGAGACTTAGGAGCCCTGAAGCCACCTCATGTGGTGGCATTGTGTGGACTGTAGCACATATGGGGGATCTGACACTCCTTCTTTTCTACAAGCACTTATGGCAGAAGATCCTAAGGTTGTCTGGCTTGTGAATGGCACCCAAAGGTGATAACTGGTGGTATAGTCACTTTCGTAATAAGCACTGAGGCTGGGATTGTTAGGGTGGCCATTGATGCAGGCTGTGAAAGAACTCACAAAGAGAAGAAAATGCAGAGAGCAGTTATTCACTTACCAAGGGAGGAAAGGGGCATAAATGTATGAAAGGCAGCAGTGGAAATGAAAGGTTTGGTCTGTGAGATTTTATTGGGTAATAAAAGGTGAGGGTTTCCAGCTAAGTAGTCATGGCAATTAGTTGTAAACAAGAGGTTTCAGACTGATTGTGCAGGCTTCAATTTGTTCTCCTGTTATCTTTGGGTTTAGGGTCTGGTATGTCCTGTTTGCGTAATTTCAATAATCTCTTCAGCCCAGTTCACAGAGGCTCAGATAAACAGCAGTTAAGTATGTGTGACAAGCCAAGGAACAGGTAGCTAGCTCTGGTAAAGAGGCCCTAATATGGGACTTTTTGTCCTTTCAAGGATGAAGGCTGCCTTTTAAAATATTTTATTAGCCCTTACTGGTGTGGTTCAGTGGATTGAGCCCTTACTGGCCTGTGTACCAAAGGGTTGCTGGTTCATTTCCCAGTCTAGGGCACATGCCTGGGTTGCGGCCCAGTCCCCAGTAGGGGGTGCATGAGAGGCAACCACACAATGATGTTTCCCTCTCTTTCCCCCTCACTTCCCCTCTCTAAAAATAAATTTTAAAAATAAAAAACTAAAAAAGCAACTGTTAAATATTTCATTAACTTACATTTACATAATTTTAGAGAATAGAGAGGGAGAGGAATATTGATGTGCAAAAGAAACATCAATTCTTTCCCTCTCACATTCCCCCTACAGGGGACCCAGTATCAAACCCAGACATGCACCAACTATCAATTGAACCTGTGACCTTTCAGTTTGTGAGACGATGCTCAACCCACTGAACCAAACCAGCTAAGGCAAGGTTACTTTTTACCCCATTTTTCACACAAAAATACCGAGACCTATAGAGTGCATCGCTTTCCCGTAAATACAAGTATGGTCAATAATCTAAGATTTAAACCCGGGTTGCATGGCCCAAGGTATGGGGAGTCTACTTATTGATCTCCTCTTCAACTTCTGGAGAGCTTTGATGTTCAACAAATGCCCATTCATACTCAAACCACATGGTGGACCTTCGAGTTCCTCCTCCAGCCCAGCAAACTCCAAACAATAGACTATAAATATGGGTGAACACTAAAAAGCAATGGTTTTTATTATATTACTAATATTTTGAATTTTAAAAAGTGATGTGTGTTAAAATGTAGATTATTCCTTAAAGTATATATGTACCTACTACATTGTGTACGGCAAAAAGTCCAAATAATTTGGGAATGTTTTCCAATATTTCAAATAATTATTCCAAAAGAAATTATTCCATAAAGCAAAAATTTTCAAGGAGTGAACATGGGTGACATAAAAACATACATCTGTGTTGTTTCTCTCTCCTATTTGTTAAAGGAGATTAACACAAATTAATAAAATAGGTAAATTACATGACTACACATTTTACTAAAAACATAGCAGTAATCCATACACACCTGTAAAAATGCTCATCATAAATCCTTATGGAAATGCAACTAAAATAAGAGAGTATGATGAACATATGAAAAGAGCTAACCTTTATAATGATTAAACCAAGATTTTGTTAGAGTAGGGAAATGCAACCACCATACACTATGAGTAAGAATGCATAAAGGCACATTTACTAGAGACTGTTCTTTACTACTTTCTTCAAAATTTACACATTAAACTTCTCAGAATGTCTGTACTGTGAATATATAAAACTAAACTCAGACATGTCCTCAGAAAATTTTCTTTAGTTTCAATACACTGAAAAAAAAATACATTTCCTAAAATTTACCCATTAACACAGTGAGTTTGCCAATGTCTGAAAGGTATGTTCTTAGAGATAAAGACTTCTGATGTTCACTTCATCATTGAAGCCTTTAACCAGTGTGAACTGCGCTTATGCTGGCCATGACTATGACATAAATGATTTCCAACATTTCATGTCCCCATAAGGCTTATCTCCTATGTAAAATCTGATGATAAGAAAGGATACAAAGAATTTCTCACATTCACTGTATTCATAAGGCCTTTCACCACACTGACATCTGTGAATATAACGGAAGCTAGAGCTACAAGAAAAACAATTTCTCATATTGCATGTATACAAAAAAATCTTTCTCCTGTGTGATTTTTCAGAAGATAACAAAAGAAATGGATAAAAAAAATTAAGATTTCCCAAATTTTTTTAGAGGAATTTAGATTTGTAAATTCTCCAATGACCACAAAGACAATGGTGACTGGTAAAAAATATCTCATGTTCACATCACTCAAAATGCATTTTTACAGTGTAACCTCTCTCAAAATATTGTAAAATACTGATGGAAGAAAAACATTTCCCACATTCACTGCAGACATTAGGCCATTCTCCATTCTGTGAACTCTCTGATGACAATGAAGGTTAATGCTACAGAGAAAAAGACTTCCCACATTCACCACATTCACATGGTATTTCTTTTGTGTGAACTCTTTTATGCTATTAAAGGTGACTGATACAGGTAAAGGATTTCCCCCATTCAGTGCACTCATTAAGCATTTATCCAGTGTGAACTCTTTGACAACAGATACCAGTTTGGTAAAGATTTCCTACACTCAGCTCATTCTTAAGGCTATTATCCAGCGTGTATGCACTGATGACAGTGGAGGGCAGAGCTACAGGTATAATCATTTCCCGCATTCACCACACTTATATAGCCTTCCTCCAGTGTGAATTCTGATGTTTATAGAGGGCAGAGCTTCTGGTATAAGATTTCCCACATTCACTGCACTCATAAGGCCTTTCTCCAGTGTGAACTCTCTGATGATAACGGAGGGCAGAGCTAATGAAAAAAGATTTCCCACAATCACCACACTCATAAGGCCTGTTTCCAGTGTGAACTCTCTGGTGATAACGGAGGGCAGAGCTACATGTTAAAGATTTTCCACATTCACTGCATACATATGGCCTTTCTCCAGTGTGAATTCTCTGATGATTACGAATGGCATAGCTACGATTAAAAGATTTTCCACATTCAGTGCACTCATAAGGCCTTTCTCCCGTGTGAACTCTGTGATGTTTACGGAGGTCAGAGCGACTGGTGAAAGATTTTCCACATTCACCGCACACATGAGGCCTATCTCCAATGTGAATTCTCTGATGTTTATAGAGGGCAGAGCTACTGGAAAAAGATTTCCCACATTCATTGCACTCATAAGGCCTTTCACCAGTGTGAACTCTGTGATGACATCGAAGGTCCCAGCTAATGTGAAAAGATTTTCCACATTCACCACACTCATAAGGCCTTTCTCCAGTGTGAACAGTGCGATGACGTTGAAGTGCCCAGCTACTGTTAAAAGATTTTCCACATTCACTGCACTCATAAGGCCTTTCTCCAGTATGAACTCTGTAATGACGCTGAAGCGCCCAGCTACTGTTAAAAGATTTTCCACATTCACCACACTCATAAGGCCTTTCTCCAGTGTGAACTCTCTGATGATAACGAAGGGAAGAACTACGAGTAAAAGATTTTCCACATTCAGTGCACTCATAAGGTCTTTCTCCAGTGTCAACTCTGTGATGCTCATGTAGGTCAGATCTACTGGTAAAAGATTTTCCATGTTGACCACACTCGAAAGGTCTCTCTCCAGTGTGAACTCTGTGATGTTCACAGATGTCAGAGCCACTGGTAAAAGATTCTCCACATTCACTGCGTTCATGTGAACTCCCATTGTGAACTCTCTGATGATCACAGAGGGCAGAACTATGGGTAAAAGATTTCCCACATTCACAACACAAAATACAATGTCTTCCAGTAAGGGATTTGTGGTCCTCAACAAGTGTGTGATCATGGCCAATGGTTTTCTTGCATTCTGTTTGGTTGTAACAATGTTTTCTGCTTTGAAAAGTCATTCTAGACTTAGAGATTTTGTTTTCCCTGTGCATGGTGTGAGTAGCCACTTGCTCTAGATGTCCTGAGCTGATGCGAACGCTCTTTTCAACCTCAGTAGAGGTACAAGGCTTCCATGACACATGGTAATTGCAGCTCTCTGCAAGTGAGACTCTGTCCACGTTGCTTAAGAAACAATTCTTTGTTGTGTCCTCCTCCTGGTGCTGGTGACTCTGTGCATTGAAATAAAATGCTTTTGCACATGCACCGCACCTCAGCAGTGTCGAGCTGTGTTGTGTTACCTGCTGGTCAACCAAGAGGAAAATGTCTCTCAAGACGGGCCCACAACTCTCACAGGGGTGGCTCCTCCAGGGAGCCACAACTGACCTGGGCTTCTTACACTGTGAGACCCTTACAGATGGACTCTGTTCAATGGGTGCCTCCATATCCTCTGGTTCACAGCAGCAACCTGAACAAAAGGAAACTCTGGTTAAGTACATAGTGACCTACAAGGACGTGATTTTTCTCACCACATTTGCATCTGTTACATCTAGGCATGACTCTGTGTGACAATTTTCTAAACAAGTGAGACAAATTCTGATAAAGTGCTTCTTCTACATTACTAGTCTACTGATGACTGTAAATAATAGGCACCTCTCTAGCAAAAACACTATAGTTTAGGACAGGACACAAGGATGAGAGGAGGGTATATAAGTTGTACCACTGCAGATGGCTGCCTGCAAAACCCTTCCTTCTGGTGATGTCAGGCTGTGTAGTGAAATGGGAATGTACACAAAACCATGAAAATCCACTGTAGCTGAGCAGATGCTGTCCAAGGTTTGTATAGAAACATGGGCACAATTCAAGGGCCAACAGGTATTGACCAAAGTTGGAGAGCACACCAAAAACACTCCTCAGAGAAATGTCAGTAGGGTAGAGGTTAGAGAGACACAGTTTATCCCTGGCTATAAATCAGAGTAGAAATGACAGCTATTAGAACTAACAGATAGGCTAAGTACCTATTGAAAAGGGCAAGTACATTTAGGTGTGATCACTGGAAATGGTGACAAAATACGGTTAAAGAGAACAGGTCCCTCATTATGTGTTAACAAAGCCCTGGCATCAAATGGTCCCCAAGTGCCATTTAGAAATGCCAGAAACCCTCTGACCATCCTGTCATGGCTGGACTACTGTCTCTCTTGTGATAAATAAGAACTCTTCTATCCCTGTTCCCCCTCAAGCAATTACATGGAATATGCATGATGCAACTGCAAGAGAAAACTTAAGAGATGCATAACCAACACTGTCATAGTACAACTCGGCACACTGTCATGTGAGGAAAAGGACATCCTAAAATGATAACAAAGTGAATTCATCAAGAGGATAACAATTTTAATTATTATGCATCGCCCCACACATACACAGAGCACCTAGTACATCAAGCCAACAACCTGAGATCTGAGGGGAGAAAATGCAACGCAACAGTACTAGACAACTTGAATATTCCCCTTTTGACAATGGGTAGATCACCCTGTCTGAAAGCAGTAAGGAATTACTGAAGTTGACTACACTTTAAAAAAACAGATCTAATAAATATGTAAATATTTTATCCAGCCGTGACCAAGTGGCTCAGTTAGAGCATTGTCCCATGCACAAAAGCGTTGAGGGTCTGGCCCTGGCTGGTGTGGCTCAGTGGATTGAACACTGGCCTGTGAACCAAACGACTGCTGGTTTGATTCCCAGTCAGGGCACATGCCTGGTTTGCAGGCCAGGGCCCAAGTTGGGAGTGTGTGAGAGGCAACCTACTGATGTATCGATATTTCTCTTCTCTTTCTCTCTCCCTTCCCCTCTCTCTCTAAAAATAAATAAATAAAATCCTTTTTTTTTTTTTAATTAAGAAAGATACTTTTTATAACAAAGGCAAGATAATGGCTATGCTACTGCCTTCAGACAAAGTGAGTGAAACTTTCAGGATATATCTCAACTCCTGATGGAGCCAGAGGGGTGGTCCTCCAGATCATTGAGTCACTCTTGACCTGACTGGGGGTGGCAAAAGAAAAAATTTAAACAATACAGGAGAACTGTTAAATGTAGCTCATAGTGGGAGGAGTCAGAGATGAGGTCACACAGGAGGCTCCAGGGTCGTGATTTAAAACTAATGTTGGGCAGCTGTGAGGGAATTTAGTCATGTGGCTTGGAAGGTATTAGAAGAGCCATGAGGGAGGAATGATGTAACAGCCACATGAGAGGAAGAAATAAGCAAGCAGCTAGCTATTTAGTTTGTAGTCAGGATTCGGCCACGCGGTCTGGTGTACTAAGGAAAGAGACATGTGTCTCTTTTGATCTTGCCTGCTCTAGCTAGCTCCAAAAACTCTCCCTTGCAAGACCCTGACCTGCTGCCTTGCAAACCCAGATTCTATCTGGACTCTCAGGACTTAAGTCTTTCCTGGACTTCACCATGATTCAGTGTAATGTGGCACATGCTTTCCTGGACTGCAACACAGAAGTTGATGACACCATACCCCAGATCCTGGAGGATAGAATCCACTTGCACAACTGGCTTAAGATAAAGACATGGAGAACTTTGGGGCTTTTGGCTTAAGGCTTTTCGAGAGCAAGGGAAATGCTGGGCCTCGTGGGAAAGGAAGGCTCTGAGTATAAAGGCACTGAGACCCCCAAAGGCTGGAATACTGTAAATAAAGAAATGCTTCCCCTGGCTGGTGTGGCTCAGTAGATTGAGCACCAGCCTGCAAACCAGAGGGTTGCTGCTTTGATTCCCAGTCAGGGCACATGCTGGGGTTGCAGGCCAGGTCCCCAGTTAGGGGTGCATAAGAGGCAACCACACATTTAAATAAAATATTTTAAAAATTATTTTAAAAATATATATCTCTATATTTCAGGTACATTTTAAAAAAAGAATTAAGGAACAAAACAAAAAAAAAGACATGCTCCTTCTAATACAGATTGTTGAATCATTCATCAAGGCACCTCTTAGAAGGGCCCAAGTCTGCTCAGTTACAGATTCAGTACACCACCTACTGGGGCTGAAAGGAGAGAAGGGAGCAGTGCAAATAAAGTAGACTTGACAAGTGCAGGATCTACACAGAAATCTGGAAAAGCAAACTGTGTACACAGTCCATATGTGAGAGGATAGCAACCCCGGAAAGTCTTAGTGGAATTGCAAAGCTAGGTCCAGGTCTCTGGTGAGTAAGGGATCTTTTCTTTTTTTTTAAGTGAGTTTATTAGTTTGGGGCAATGAGACAAAAAGAAAAAATTGCTAGAGACCCGAAGACCACCTGCTGCTGTCCATTGCTTCCTGGGTACAAGTCTGGTCAAGACTCTTATACCTTAGAAGAAAACCTCAACCCTCAGAGAGGCTCTCGCAGGCCAAAGAGTGTGCAAGCAGAATGAGTGTCTTACCCATTGAAGATATAAGAGCAAAGTTCTCCAGCATCACACCAAGGTACAGTCGTCGCTGAGCCTCATCAAGGAGGCACCACTCTGTCCTGGAGAAATGCACGGCGACATCCTCAAAGGTCACAACAATCTGTCAGAATTAATACAAATGAATCGGAACAGTCTGTCTGAGACCCCACAATCCTAGTGTTTCCCATGCACAACCCCCTTGAAGGCCACCAATTCAGAGAAGACACCAACCCTTGGTGAGAAAGCTACTTGCTGTCTCATCACAGTTTCATTAATTACTCACATTGCCCGCAGCCAAGGCAAGATGAGAATAAGTTGGGCAAGTAAATGCCATCTGAGCTTGGGGCCATGCCTGAGGGCCCCATCCATCCTGCTAAGCAAATTCACTGATTCTCCCAGATCATGCCTCCAAGACACAGCCAAACGATGGCTTCTGTTTCACCCTTAAATCACAACACCAGGTATTCAGGACCATCAGCTCACACTCAAGCTGTGCGCACCATGGTGTGATCTCTACCTGCTTCATATCTTCACACCCCAAGTTGACACCCTCAGCTCTGCCCCTTTGCCCTCATGCACAAAAGAGTGACTTCTGCATGTTTCCATACTCCATCGTTCCCCAGATTTCCACACCATGTCTTCAGCTGCTCACTTGATGTTTCTACTCACTGTTCTTTGATACTTTTAAAAATGTGAACAGAAAATCCTTCTGATATTCCCAAAGAGAATTAACCTACCACCATCTTCCCCAGCCCAGTTGATGGAGCCTCCACCACTTCAGCTTCTAGGACCAAAAACACTGGGGTAGTTGAACCCTTTCCTTTCTCTTCCACAGATGCCACATCCGAAACTCTACTTGCTGTACTAAAATACTGAGAGGGGTAGGGTCGGGGGAGCTTTAAGACAGTATAAGAGGGGTAAATTGTAATGGAAAAAAATACAATAAAAAGAATGGACCAACAAGCCAACCTTTTCTTCTGCTTCTGAGGCCCAACTCTGGCCCATCAGTTCTCCTTTGGATCACAGAAATCACCTGGTCCTGCTGTCCTTGTCTCCGTTCTTAACCCCCATGATCCTTTTTGCAAGGTGCTGCCAGATGGAGGCTATTAAACCCAGGAGAGACCAACTCCTTTCTCTTATGCAAATGCCCATTATCTCCCTAACAGATACTCAAATATCATTTGGACATTCTACAGGTCTGATTATTGACCCTCCCTGCTCCTTGTTTTTAATACAAAGGGAGGACACCTATTCCCAAACACTTCCATATGCAGGTGCCTCTCCCTGGATAACCTCCCTTTACAGCTTACACTGGCTGCCAGTGTGCACCAAAAAAAAAAAAAAAAAAAAAAAAAAAAAAGGCAGGATGAGCAACATACTAAACCTGACTAGCTTAGGGGAGTCTGTGAGTCTGACGGGGCTTTACAAACTGACTGACAATGCCCCCATAGATGGTCTGAAATTAAAACTAACTAAAAGCAGGCCATGGCAAGGAGTCATGTCTTAGGCCAGTACTTTCCCTTGGAAAGGTCAATTTTTACCTTAAGTGAGCTCATCTTTGTATTTTTCCATCTATAATATACACTTCGAATGTCAGGATAATCCCCCCCCCCTTTTTTTTTACCCCTCAGAGCACAAACACTGCACCAGAGCAGATCAAAAATCCTGTGTTGTTCTTACTATTGTGTTAATTAACAATCCTATAACCACCAATGTAAAAGAACCATGTGTCTATTCACTTTTACTTTTCATCTGGTATCAGAGTTTCCTTGTTTTCTCCTGCCTCCCACACCAATCACCAATGAATTTCAAGTTCCCCATTTACGTCTCCCCTTTTGATTTTGATGTATAAAGTAAGTGGTAAAACTGCCATTTTCTGAAGCACTTTCACACTCTGTTGAGATGTTTCTTGGCAATCCAACTCAGTTTCGCTCGAATAAACACTTAAAAAAGTCTACAGCTATAAATGTTTCTCATATCGACATCAGAAACGTGAGCACCTTGATACTACCTGTGACCTACTGCCAGGATCTGGGTATTCCCAGGGTCCTCACATCCAAGGGCAGAGAATTACCACGGGAAAAATCTTTAGACACTTTAATATAATGTCACCACCAAGTAGGGACCGGGACGCCCTGTCCTTCATGTCTACTTTACAAAATGGTTTTCAGCCTCAGAACCCGCCGAAAGACGAAATCAACCTCCCTTACAGATTCTGTGTCTCAGCCCAGCCCCGGAGTCTGGTGACCTGCGGCCAAGTTTCGGTCCTCAGCGCGGCAACTCACCGGCCCTGTAACTTTGGACAAGGGCTCCTCTTCCTGTGTCTCTCTGTCCTCATCGCCCCACTCCTGTCGGTTTTCTATCTCAGAAGGATCTAAAAGGCTTTCAAAACCATGACACAATCCATCTCTCTCTTAATTCACGACCCTCCCGGGCTCCCAGGACCATTAGAAAGAAGGCGCAGCCCCTCTGCCTCCCACTCAGGACGTGACTCTGCCTAAGACTGTTTAAAGCAGATGGAGGGCCGAGGCCAAGTTCGTGGGTCCTTCAGGGTCAGCGGCGTCTGCGCACCGCAACCCGGTGGCCCTTCGGCCCGTCACTCTCGCCCACGCCGTCACACCGTCTGTGCCCACGGGCGCCTCACATCCCGGATGCCGCGATCTGGGCTGCAACACGTGACAGGCGCCCCGCACCCAGGCTGCAGAGCTCAGTTGGGAAGAGTGCGGAGGCCCGGGGGCGCGCACTCACCTCAGCCGAGCGCCTCAGGGCGGTCGCTGCCATCACACTCTGTGGCCCGGGTGGGACAGAAGGCGCGGTTGCTGCCATCAGATTCCACGGCCGGGATGAGGCAGGAGCCGCGGGCGAGGCGGTGGCGCCGGGCACCACGGTCTCCATCCCGGACCAGGCGCGGGTCACAGGGGCGGACTCACGGAGCCTCACAGTCGCGTTCGTGACGCGGCAAGCAGGCCTTTCCGATTTCTTGCAACGGCATCTCCACCTCGGCGCAGCGCTCAGTGACTCTAACCCGTGAGGTGCTTCTGAGCGCAGACAATATGCCCGCCAGCAGGGCAACGGAAGTCCGTCCCACAGGCGTTCGGCCTCAACGGAAGAGCCTTTTCTGAGCCTTATTGGCTCATCCCTCCAACAGCCTTCTGGGTAATGTGGTTCCTAGAGTCCACGGAGGTGCAAAAGGGTTTTCCACATAATGAGAGGAGAAAAGACCCAGACTCATGGGGAAGGTAACGGAAAGTGACGCGTCCTGGTGGAAAAGAGATCTTGAATATGATAAAAGGAAGGTGTCATCTCCTCCTATTGAAGGATCTCGCTCTTAAAATCCCACGAATCCCCATACTTGTCGTTTGTTGTGCTTTTTTCACTTTTCAATAGCACCTATCCCTTAACATTTACTATAACATGAAATATTTTCTTTTTCACTTCTGGCTAGCTTTCAATCAAGGCTTCGAGGAAACCAGGTTGCAAACACCTTTATTTACTCACTAATAGGTATTCAGATGTAGAAGAGCCACTGAAGCAGATGAAATAATCAGTAAATGAAGCCATATCTTTCCTTAACTCTTCTAAATTTTTCTGCTCACAACTTAATGTTTTTGTCACCTATTTTTTCCTCAGGCTCTCAGGAATGAAATGGACACATACTTTGTCGAAACAATAATTTCACTGTAGCCAGTTTCCAGCAGATTCATTGCTGAGGTTAAATCTGTTGTTCATAGAAGTCAGTGTCCTTCATTTGCCCCCCATTGTGCCTTACCTGTTTGCAGGCTTAAAAGAGCCTTTTTTCTTCTACCTATTTAAGTAATTCTGATAGTATAACTCCATTAATCAATAGGAATACTTTTCTGTAGTTTGATGTAAATCTCTTCTGGAACTGTTCGGCAGTCCCCATGCAGACACTGTCGATGCATTTTGAGCAGAAATCATCATTGTGTCCAGGATAGGGGGTATGATCTCAAATTCAGCACCTTTATCTCAGGTTCAGGTGCCCACTTTCTACACAATCATGGATGCCAACATCGCACCCATTCTGGTAGCAAATATAAAAGTGATACATAAGCAGTATTCCCCGATAGACATCACATTCTTAGAAGTTTTTAATAGACCATATCTGAGAAAATTCAGTAAAAAATGTCATGTGGAAAAGAACTGGCGAATTCATCACCATTCCCTGACAGGAAGATTCATTCTCTAAATCCAAAACCTTTCTCTCAGATTCAGATACCCATTTTCCACACTTTCTTGGGTGCCACCAAATGTACACTGGCTATCTAACTATAGTCCAAAATATATTTAGAAAACAATATACTATGCCTCAGTAAGTTTCATATGAATTGTAAATGGAAAAAAACTAGTAAGTTCTGTGACTGGAACATAAATAGAGATAGCAGATAAAATATATTGGGAGGAAGTAAAAGGTAGGGTGTCACACCATTCACTTGTTTTAGGGCTGCCTAAATATGTCCCCTCCATGATTCTTCCACATCTGTCTAAAGTATTTTTCCTCTTATCGGTGAATGAACACACCCAGACTCCTCATAGTCACTCGAAGAGCTTTACTCCCCATAAAGTGAACAGTAGGAAGACTTTTTTCCGTTTTTGAATGAACCTTAGTGTCTTTATAGCAATTGTTGCATGTATATTTTCAGTACATGAGTTACAAATGGATTCTGTAACAATATTTTACTTACATGTCTATGATAAACTTAAGTGTTAAAACTTTCTGCTGGTTTTAATGACAGCAAGACACACTTAACAAAAACAGGCCAATAAAATTTTATAGACTATGAATAACAAGATAATCAGTTCAGAAATCTCAAGAGATAAAAAATGGAGGTGAGACTTCCGGCCAAGATGGAGGCGTAGGTAGATTTACTTTGCCTCCTGGCACAACCAAAAGAAGGACAACAACAAATTTAAAAACAAAAAATAACCAGAACTGCCAGAAAATCAAACTGTATTGGTAATCCACCAACCAAGGCATTAAAGAAGCAGCATTCATCCAGACTGGTAAGAGGGGCGGAGACAGGCAGCCAGAACAGGGAGGATGTGTAGCAAAGCGGCAGCTGGAAGGCCAGGTGGGCAAGGCAGCAGCTGGCATACCGGGTGGTCCCACATTTGCAGGTGGATAAACTGGGAGGAACAGCTGGGGAACGAGACAGACCACACAATCCAGGGTCCAGTGTGGGAAAAGAAAGCCTCAAAACCTCTGGAGGTAAAAACCTGTGGGGGTTGCAGCAGTGGGAGAAACTCCCAGCCTCACAGGAGAGTTCATTGGAGAGACCCACAGGACCCTAGAATGTACACAAACTCACCCACCCATGAATCAGCACAAGAAGGGCCCAATTTGCTTGCAGGTAGCAGAGGAAGTGACTGAAAGCCAGCTAAGAGCCAAGCAAGCACTATTGTTCCCTCTTGGGCCCCTCCCCCACATACAGCATCACAACACAGAGATCTGGGTTGTCCCACTCTGGCAAATACATAAGGCTCCTCCCCCTCCAAAGTAACAGGCATGCTGAGACAAAGAAATATAGCCCAAATGAAAGAAGAGAACAAAGTTCCAAAAATAGAACTAAGTGATAAACAGATAGCCAACGTATCAGATGCACAGTTTGAAACACTGGTAATCAACATGCTCCCAGAAATGGTTGAGTATGGTCACAAAGTGAAGGAAAAAGTGAAGGCTATGCAAAGTGAAATAAAGAAAAATATACAGGGAACCAACAGTAAAGGGAAGGAAACTGGGACTCACATCAACGATTTGGAGCAGATGGGAGAGAGAAACATTGAACCACGACAGAATGAAAAAACAAGAATTCAAAAAATTGAGGAGAGGCTTAGGAACCTCTAAAACAACTTTGAACATTCCAACATCCGAATTATAGAGGTGCCTGAAGGAGAAAAGGAAGAGCAAGAAATTGAAAACTTATTTGAACAAATAATGAAGGAGAACTTCCCCAATCTGGCCAAGGAAATAGACTTCCAGGACATCCAGGAAGCTCAGGGAGTCCCAAAGAAGCTGGATCCAAGGAAGCACACACCAAGGCACATCATAATTACATTACCCAAGATTAAAGATAAGGAGAGAATCTTAAAAGCAGCAAGAGAAAGGGAGACAGTGATCTACAAAGGAGTCCCCATAAGACTATCAGCTGATTTCTCAAAAGAAACCTTGCAGGCAAGAAGGGGCTGGAAAGAAGTATTTGAAGTCGTGAAAGGCAAGGATCTAAGTCCAAGATTACTCTATCCAGCAAAACTATCATTTAGAATGGAAGGGCAGATAAAGGGCTTCCCAGATAAGGTCAAGTTAAAGGAATTCATCATGACTAAGCCCTTATCATATGAAATGTTAAAGGGACTTATCTAAGAGAAAGAAGATAAAAAATTATGAACAGTAAAATGACAACAAACTCACAACTATCAACAACTGAACCTAAAAAAACCAAAAATAAAAAAAAAACACACACAAACTAAGTAAACAACTAGAACAGGAACAGAATCACAGAAATAGAGATCAGAGGGAATTGGGAGTAGAGAGAACAGAGGAACGGATACAGGGAATAAGAAGTAAATAGTAAGTACAAAATAGAGAGAGGTTAAGAAGAGTATAGGAAATAGCGAAGCCAAAGAACTTATATCTATGACCCATGAACATGAACTAAGGCTGGGAATGCTGCTGGTGGGGAGGTGCAGGGTGGAGAGGAATAAAGGGGAGAAAAAAATGGGACAACTGTAATAACATAATCAATAAAATATATATTAAAAAATAAAAACAAATAAAATTATTTTTAAAAAATGATTGGCCCTTGGCTGGCAACTGGGAACCCAGATTTCAGGAAGGTTCCCACCATTAATTGATAAGAGTAGCTCTAAAAAAAAAAAAAATGGAGGTGATATTAGATTTCATCAAGTGCAGTTTAAACAGTGCCTAAAACTCACCTGATAGGAGTTCTATACAGGAGAACCTTAACTGATACTGTGCTTATTGTTCTCTTTAATATGACCTAAATTTATTTTTTAATTTTTAAAGTATTTATTGATTAGAGAAAAACAGAGGGAGAGACTTTGATCAGCTGATTCCCACCTGCACCCTGACACAGGATGAAACCCACAACCCAGGTATGCACCCTAACTAGAAATTGAATCCATGCCACTCTGGTGCACAAAATGATACTCCAACCGAGTCAACCCAGGCAGAGCTAATTTTTCTTATACACATTGTTTTCTAAAAAGTTTTAGAACTTTTTGAAAACATTTAGAAAATGTTTTATCTCACTGTTAACTGGAATCTGGAGTAAGGGTGTCCATGGCCAGAGTGTGCTGGGAGCTGGCATTCAAGAAAATCTAGGTCCTAACACAAAGAGCCATAGCACTGTCCTCCAGTATAGACAACGTCGTCTGGAAAAAGTGTGTGTTTGCAGCCAATGGCTTTCTTACAGTCTTTCCTGGTGTGATAATGTTTTCTCCTTTGAAAACCCACCCTAGATAGTGACAGTCCATTTGGCTTCTCCTGGTGTCAGTAGCCTGTTTTGGGATATGTCCTCAGCTGTGTTGTGTTCCCTGCTTGTCAACCAAGAATAAGATGCCTCTTAGGACTGGCCCACAACTCTCACAGAGGAGGCTCTTCTGGGAAAGACAAAGCTGCCTTGCGATTTTTTTTTCATGTGACACTCGTACAGAAACATTCTGTTCAGTGGGTGCTTCCACATCCTCTGCCCCATAGCAGCAGCCTGAACAAACACAAACGCTGTTGAAGTACATGTAAACCATGTAGTGAAGGAATATTATTATCAGAAATGTATACCTGTCACAGCTAGCCATAATTCTATGGGATGATTTTCAAGAAAATTAGACTCTGAGGAAAGGGCTGCTATGAATTTCTTGGCCCCAAAGGTTGGTAAATGGTGGAGACCTCATGACAAAAGATACAACCATAGAATAGGAAACAAAGGAAAGAGAGGTCTAGTAGTTGTTCCTTCACAAATGACTCCCTGTAGGTCCTTTTGTTCTGGTGATGAGAGGCTGTGCAGAAGAATTTGAATGTCCCCAAATCCACAAAAATCAATTATAGTGCTGGCCAGCCAGGCTCAGTTGATTGGGCATCATTTTGCAAAGTCAAAGGTCCTTGGTTCTATTTCTGG